GCCTCGGTTATCCACGTAGGCACTAATACGCTTTTGGTGGCCACTCGTACAGATATTCGAAGCGTCTCCCAGACAGAGACTTGATTTCCGGCTGAGAATAGGATATGCTGCTATGTTTAGACGACGACTGCTGTGAATTATGTTGTTGGCGTTTCTGAAAGAAGCAATCTTCATGTCCATCAGTATCACACTATTGGCATGAAGGCTGTTCATGCTTGAGACTTATGTAATGTCAGAAGCTACGATGCTGGCAGGATGATGACGGTTTCTTCTTTGTACATTGGCTGGTATCTCACAGGTAGCTGAGAAGATGGTCTCTTCAAAGAAGACCATGGAGTGCAGTCACAAGTTGATGCAAAGGTCTGAGAGGTAAGAACTATACTGGAGTCCGAATTCGAATAGATGCAGTTTGAAGTGTGACAACCAGTATAAACCTTCAAGTAATCTTTTACTGCATATTCGCTGATCGAATGGTTGGTGAGCGCTTGTAGATACATCACAGACAATGGTGGCATCAGACGTTGGGATGGTTATATCCATCAACTCTAGAAAGGCCTTCTCTCTACAAGTCAGGATTTCTCTGTAGTTTCGTCGTCAATCAACTATACTATCAAGGCTGATATCTATCGATGATAAAAGCTAATTTTTTCACATCGAGGAAAGGGACCGGCCACAAAGTTTGCATCACATACGATATAGTAAATGTAGTTTGAAGACTGTAAACATATTCACGCTTTCCAGCCTGTTTTGGCTGGTGTCTATCTAGAGAAGTAATGATGGCGTAGCAAGGCCATCTGAGGTCTGTAAAAATCTTTAGGCGACGATTTTGTGATAAGTGACCTATGTGCTGGAAAGATGGCTGGTAGTTCTCCTTCGAAAGCGCCGTAACGACTATTGGTAGGTTCCGAATTCCTACGGGAGAAGGCGTGTAGAGTAACTTTGTCGTTTATCTTCTGTTACAGGCTTGTTCCCTTTGTCAGTTGCTACAAATCTGTACATAGAATAAGAGATGCTTTGAGATTGATGTGGTGCAGCAAGGTGAGTTTCTGCGATGATTCCTTGGAGCTGCAAAAAGCTTCCCTCACCCCAACCGAAAAGTGACACTATTTCGGATATCTTTTAAGATTGGATAAACACTGGCGTATGATAGAGACACTTGTAGGAATGAAACGTCAACAGCAACTAGACATTCCGTATCTTCAGGGAATCTGAATGGGGAACTCCTTGATTGTCTCGGTCTCTTCCTCTCCAGGTCTGATACTTAATGCTGCTTTCAATGCTCATGAACACTGAATCAATTTTTTAGTTCGAACCGGTCTCCATAGTGGCGGAACATAAGAAGACTGTTTTTCATTAACCGGGTATTGGTTGGCAGAAGATTGGAGAAATACGATCAGGAGTATTGTTGTACATTGTATTAACGCTAACTTGCAGACTTTGGCACCGATTAACCATTGTAAATTTGTTTCTTTGTCGCTTGAAGAATAAACAGCATTCCTGTCCAACTGTTTTCTCTTGTTCTGCGGCAGTTACTGTGCATAGTGTTCTGCGAGTTTGGCTTAGTATTCTAAAACAAGCAGTGGGTCCAGGATCTCAGAAGTGTGGATATTTGACAGCCACGTTCTGAAAAATCTACAGAAGAAATACCAAAGATGCACTTCTGGTGATTTACGGTTACATTAAATGGTTCAAGGCGTATTGCTCCTCAGTAGACGTGCCGTCTATTAGGAAAACATATGTAAAAACGAGATCGAGACCTTATTTGACTTCGTCCGTGAAGCGTTTATATAGCTAAGCAGCATTTTTGAGATTGGATGCCACGTAAGATGTAACAGTCCAGAATAATACAATGGCTGTTTCCTTAATGTCTTCTGTGGTGACTGGTATTCAGTGACATGCACTGACTAAATAAAATTTACGTAAGATAGCTTTTGCATGCAGCTTAGAGAGGAAATCATGTAGGTGGAAAATGGGATGACGACCAAGGACAGTGGTGTTATTGGATGCACAGTAAATCGCAAAAGGTTACAGAGCGAGATAAGCCTTTGGCACCATATACAAGAGTGAGGACCACGTGCTGTTGAGAGGTTTTATTACGCATGGTTGCATCATGTGTTCAAACTTAGCTTCAGCTGCCACTGGGTTGTCGGGTGGTGGTCGATATGGACATGCTCGTGAAGTCTGACCCATTGTAGAGATATCATGTGTGACGGAATGCAGAATATCCACGTTATTGTAATACTTCTTGAAAACTTTCGTGGAACGTTTCACTAAGGCAGACTATGTGCATTCATTACGTTTTCCAATGCAGATATTATGATCCCACGGATTTCAAGCTAGGTACTGTAATCAGTCAGTTATTTCTTGTTGATACCACCTAACAGATTGAAATTCTCAAACAACCAGGAGTGAGTGTAGTATATCTGACTTCAGTTACTATGCAAATTCAGATAAAAAGTCCGCGTAAACTAAAATCCGGGATCACTAGTTGGTAGCTGTAAGTACGTATGCTCGTCTGGCTGACAGGTTCCCAGCTGTGCTAGAATGTCACCTGGATGGTGGACGGCGTATTACGCTAATTCCGGCTCCTGTGTCTACTGGGAAGTGTTTCTGTAGTCACATAGGGAAGGCGAACTGATTTACTGCAAGCAACAGACGTCACCACCACTTTCTGGATGGAAAGTTTCTCTGAACAGCTTCGCTATTTTGTAAAGAAGTGGGATTGTACATGGGGTGGCTAGCTATCTGCATTTTCGCGGTGCCAACATGCACGTCGACTTTAGATATCATTATCACATACTTGTGTTGAGTGAGAACATCGTCGTTTCCATGACCATGCTTGAAGCCTAACACGCTGCTCTCGGAGATTAGCAAGAGTATCCATATGTTCTGCCATTCGTGTGGTAAACACCACAGTGGCTGATACCACAAATGTTTTTAGTATAGATGTAGCTGTGAGTGTTAGTATGATAACCGACTTTACTATCAGAATTATTAATAAAGTTACCGACTGATGGCACATAAAACTGCAGGGGACCAGTGATACTTTTAAATCTTTATTTTCGAAGACACTACAGCGAACAATTGAAGCGGAAACATCTAGTCGAAGAAACAGAAGAGTATACATTATTTGGTGGATAAAGAAATGATAAAGAATGATAAAATGATGAAGAAGATATAGTTCCTATTTGGTTGTCCATTCTACCATGCGGAATTCTTGATTGGCTTACTACATCTAAGTGACTGTAGGGGCTCTACAGTATTTCACAACGCACAGTCATGTGGGATGATGACGACATCGTTATGAATATGAGGACACAAAAACAGCAATCACGTAAAAATACAGTCAGGCTATGTAAAGTTAGACGTTTCGCTGGCGTCATCAGTAAATTGGGAGTATACTAGATAGCAAGCCACTGAATGGTAGAGAAGATCATTATAAAAGTCAAGATTAGTAAACATAATACACTGAATAATGTAAATGAGTTATATTAGAGTACAGTCTTTCTGCAACAATAAATTAAACAATATAATCCATAGGTACAGTTCACTACGTAAGTTTCGACAAAGCTCTCCACACTGGGGATATTGACGAATTTCTTCCAAATACCCTGGAAGAGGATAAAAATATAACTGTAAATTTCAAAGTAACCAGCTCGAAAATCGGTATGGCTTATAACTGCTGAAAGTGAGAAAAAGAAGCATAAAGAATGACACATTTATTTCCAACCACTTGAAGATGTCATGCACAAAAGAAAGATTTTGATTTAGACACAATACATAAGCAATGTGTGACTTTTTATAAGTGTACATAGCCAATGTTCTGGACTCGAAACCACTTCGTTATTTTGTCGGTATGGCATATATGCGCCCGCAGAATCGCATTAACGGCGTAATTTTATTCTTAATTGCACATTGAAATGGCTTCATCCGATACCAAACCCTTCACTTGCATTGAAAATACGCCAGGAGTAGTGAATTTTAAGCAGTGCTGCGGCAAAGAGTAATTAACCACTATTTTCCTGACTTTTCATACCAGAAGCCACATGTCTTCCGAGTTCAGAAAAATGAAGTGAGTCTGCGCTATCACATCGAGAGAATATCAGATACTAATCAGAAATGCGTTCAATATGTTAAGGAATGTAGTCTACTTGAGAATCTTCACTCTGCAACCTTCATGAAACACAACAGAAAACTTAATAGACAACGTATTGAAAAATTTCGTCTTATTTTCCCTCTAGCGACATACTCAGGATTCAATTCCGTGGAGCAGGACGAACAGCTTCTATCAAGATTTAATACCAAGGATGACAGAAAGATTATAGGCTTCCACGAGGTAACCCGCTAAGGATAGCACACCAGAGACCGAAGACTCGAGTGCGTTCACATTTCTTTTCTCTTCGAGTTTGCCGTCTCTGGAACGCTTTACCGGCGGCCGTAACTACAGCACCATCTGTGGACACTTTTAAGCGGAAGCTGGACAATCATGCAGAAATGCATGGTTTGTGTCTTATCCTCTTAAAATTTGAAACCACACTGTCAATGGATAAGCATACAAGCTGAATCCCCACGACCCGTCCTGTCTTCTCTCACTGTACCGACTACTCTATCTTTTCTTTAGTCACCTTTATTATTTCACTTATCTCAACCTATATTATCTACACTACAACCTATTATTATTACTATTCTACTTTTATGACTATACCGAATGACCAACGGGTTTTAGGTCAAACTCCATTCACGGCAGCAGCTGAGTCGTAACATACTGCACACTACAAACCACAATCTTGACCAATCCTCGCACCACTCCTCTTGGAGTCTACCAGAGCTAAAGCAGTCGAGTGGCGGGATTTACTACGCATAAGTTAACCGAAGATCTGGAACCTCTACCTTACAATCAAGAAGCGAGCTCAAAGAAACCATTGGTTTATACCAGCTCGTAATCAGGATATTGGATATTGAAGACAAATTGTTTGTAAGGGACTAGTCCGCGTAGTCTGGTTAGTTGCGTTGTAATAGGTCATTACGGAGCTCGCATGCTCCTTCCCTTCATTGAGTGACTGCCTCTCGTTGTGCCGCATTTATATAATAAAGGTAGGAAAATGTAGTGGTGTGCTGACGAGCTGAAGGAGTTGTAAACTTTAAAGACAAAATATTAAACAACCGAAGGGAGAAGATGACACAATCAAATGACCTTGAATCAATATATCTTGGTCTCCTAGGTAATTTGTAGCAGTAATAGCATAGAAGATGCTTAGTGGAGAAATGTGTAATGAAAATGAATTACATAGGGCTTATGTCGCTAATATACTGCGAAGAGAGGTCTCAATTTATTTCCATAGGAGTGGCTAGAGCAATAAGCCATTTAGATCCATTTTTAGACTTGCTAAAGACTCTTCAACTGAATCTGTATGAGTAGCATTTACAGGATACACCTACTCCGGTGAGTCACGGACTTTTTGATGAATATAACCTAAAGATGAATTCCACATTGCTCAGCATTTCGAACAATGTAGCCATGATCATCGTCGCATGTTGCACTCTAACCTTAAAGATAACCCTACTTTAGTCCTACCCTTGCCCTTATCCTGAATCAGAGTGGAAATTAACGAAGATTATGAAAAGCTTGTAGTTGTAATGTTGAGCGATCTGGTTGTTCGGTTCAAAGGCACTCGAACTGATATCAATTCTTTTATCTCGTCCTATATTTTGGGAATTTGCCTTGGAAGAGAGGAAACAACATGATGTTGAAAAAATAGAGGGGAGGGAGAATAAATGTCAAAAGCCAGTCGGACAAAAGTGGTAAATAGTGTGAATAATAATAAGGAAGTGGGCGAACTTTAATCGTGACCATTTTACCATTATTTGGCCAGAAATTCGCCGTTGTGACTATTATTTAATCACTTTTTTAAACCATTCTTACCACTCGCTCAATTGTACTGGATATTCATATTTTTGCCCGACTTAGTCTGGTCCACACATATAAACCATCTATATATAAACACGGAGACTTCAATTTTAATGAATTAATGTATCTAAATTATACTAAAACTGTGTATACACATACTGTTTTAGTCTTGAAATATACATAACGTACACAAAAACAGGCAAATCTTGGTTAAATAATGGGCAAAAGCCACCATGGTTGGGCAGATGGTAAGAATAGTTCAATAATGGTAAAATATCTAAATAATGGTCACAACAGTAAAATTTTGGTCAAGTAATGGTTAAATTGCAAAGATCTTGTTACAGTCAAAATCTGTCCATCTTCCTATCTTTGACCATGCCCATTATTCGCTCGTTTCTTGACGTCCTTGTCCGACAGGTTTAACCTTTGAGTTCTCAAAATTACTATTTACTAAGCATTACTGTGGGTCTAGAAAGGGATTATATTTCTAAATGACAGTAATATCCATGTGTTGTTCTACCAATATTTGTGTAGTATTCTGATGTTAAGTTTCATTGTTGAAAAACATTGAATACCCGTGTTCACTTACCAACCTAACTAACCTGCATCAAATCTCTATCTTGAAGTGTTTGAACTTCGTTGAGTTTGTATACTAATCATAGACAATAAAGGAACAATGAATAGTGATGCTCGGTTAAGAAGACTAAACTAAGACCCGCGATCTACAGATCAGTGTTTGCCGTTTCATTCTAACAGGCAACTACGTAGATTCATCGGGGATACTGGTCATAAGACCTGATGACAAGCAAACTGATTTCCAACAAAATCAGTGCCTCAATTAGCTTTCGGATTTGACCACTGTGATATCGGAAGGAACAACTGAAATAGTGTACAGGGTCTCTAAATGTAGTCAGCATCCATCCTATGTGGGGTGCTGTCATTGGTACTCCAACTGTAGTTTGGTTAATACATCTGAATTGTATCTTTAATACTGATTAGTCAGATCTGCAGTCATCTTTCTTCCTCTTTCTTTTCCTAAGGTACTTTCGTCCTTTGCATTAAGAATGGAACATAGAGCTCAAAGCTCTGAAGCTTCAGTGGTGGGGTCATGTTATTACGGGGTAGGGTTACTAGCCTGATCATGGAGCCCTGATAACTTGGGAATTCTTGGTAGAAGCTGTAATCTCATGGCTATTTCAGATTTCAGCTAGAGCTTATTCTGGCTTTCACCGCTTACTTGTCGGTGTACATTTACAGTGACTTCCATCCTTAGGCCTTCAACATCTTTCGCATGTAGTCGTATTGTTGTTCCTTTGGCCCCAATTTCTTTTCTCTTCAATTCTCACCTGAATTTCTAAGATATTCGGAAAACTGAATGGAATTCATCACGCGGGTGGTGGGTGCAAATTGCATCATTATCGGTAACCATTTAAAACACAAAATCAGACCACATTAATTCGAAAGCTACTGGTCAGTCATTTTTAAATTTAGAAGGGAATTTACATCACAAGAGGAGTTTATTCATCCTATGGTAATGTTACAAACACAACAGTTAAATGCTAGTTCAGTTCATCCCTCATTCTAAAGTAAGCAATATAATGTCGGCTTTTGACGCCTCTTTGTTGTATAATTTATATTTTACTCTGTCTTGTTTAAACAATTATACGGTCTTTATTATTACAAAGTATCCCTTAACTTGTGGGTTTTTAAACCGCAGTTTGTGTTTCCCTTTGCAGGTATCATTAAGAAATTCTAACAACTTACATAGTCTACATTTCACTTCTTACTTGGTACATACGAGAGAAATTTAAAATTCACATAAGCGGGTATTCAGCCATTTTACCAATATGATGGTTATCCGATTGAGTACTCATGGATGGTGTGTCTTAATTATAAGCGTTTTGGTCATATTCCTTTACTACTTGTCGTCATTCAATCCTATTGGACATCTGAAAGGCGAGGTTATTAGTGTCCGAAGGTTGTTAACTCGTTGTATACATCTTTCTGAAGAAGCTGGTGGTCTTATAAAATCTATACACTACATGAACAACTTGAATTCACGCATAAAATCTGGAGGTACGCTAAAAAAAGAACTGTTAACTGACGCTGATCTGGGATCTCATCGAATTATTGTATCGGGGATCTCATCAACGTTTCCGGAGTTGAAGGTATTTTTCATGGTGAACTCTTGTGTTCCTTACGTTTTGATTGATGCAAAATCTTTTTATTTTAATCAAATTGTTCTTCACATACTAAATTCTCCTGTGCTATGTCTCATGCTCTTACTGATCCGCTAAATTATCCAGTGGAGTAGGGGACACTTTGAATACTTCTATTTACTGAATGCAATATGGTTTGTGATTTTTATAAATAAATATAAGTAATATGTCAATAATTTGTCACTGGAAAAGTGAATGAAAGAGAGACGCTAGAAGAAATTGATAGCACTAAGAAAAATCCAACAAGAGATAGACAAGGAAGATAATCATATTATTTGCAGATTTTGCAGCCAATGTAAGGTCTATGATTTTCTTATTGTCCTTTGTATTTTGTCACAATGATTACTAAAGTTAACAAAACTAGTTAGGACAGAAGTAATACCATTCAAATTTATCAGTTTGTTATGTTGGTTTATTGAAGGAGAGCTAATAGCATGGAGCATGTTGCTAAGTTATTCGGTTTATTCGAACAAGTGTCCAGTCTATTTATGGTGCTGTGTTCGAATGGCTTAGTAACTTGTTTTAAATCTTTCTAATACTTCGTCTAAATGCATATTCAATTCCCTCAGTGTCTACAATAATCAGTGTAGTGTAGGAAATCAACTTTATAATTGGGGGAATTTTTATCGGTTGACAGTTTATTCGTACTTGGGTTACCAGTAATAAATCAGCAGCTACAGTATTGTAGTTTCAAAAAACGTCACTTGATGTCCTAAGTATGTTGATATAAATATATTATTTTGGCGTGTAATTTCGTCATCAAGCTCTATGACACAAAGATACTGCTAACGAGGTACACCTAAGTTTGATATTAGGTGGTAGGCGAAGTCAGTTTAGATATGTCCTCGGCTAACTGCTAACGTTCAATGGCTCTTCCTGTATATGGATTGTTGTGTGCACTCCTTTTAAATCCTCACGTTCTTGTTTCTACGGTAAAGTGTATCATAACTTGAGGTTAATTTATAGTGGCAGTCGTGATACAGACTGTTGTACTTCTTGTAGCCGTCTTTTTTACTGTTAGTATTCAATAACTTTAGATTTTTATGAGTGTCGAGTAAGGTGTAGATCCTTTTTCTACAATTATTTTTGTTTGTCTTAGTAGAGTGTTTTTCGAACAACGTGAGTTTTATTACTGTCTATTTGTATTGTCTTGACCACCAATTTTGAAGCAAAATAATAACTGCAACAGGTAGCTTAATCGTTTATGATATGCAATTTACCATTCATGCATAGGAATTTCAAACAAGTTAAGCATCTTTATTTATTGAGACTTTTGAATTCCCCTTTGTTTGGTTTCTTTGAACTATAATATTGGGACTGTTTTGGTATTTTGGCCTCTGTTATGAACCCATCTTGTACACCATGATTACGACTTGGATTTATTTGATTAGTCATATTTAGCTTTGGAATTCTGGATGCATGGTTTGTCTTGTTTGGGGCACTGGCATTCCGGTGAATGATGGTATTCCCACTGGACCTCTGACGTACCACCCGTAATTATCCACTAGGGTACTGAGCCACTATAGCCACTTCCTTAGCATTTGGCGACATTTTTTATTTATTGAAACTTGGGTTTTCTGATTTCGGTTCGACTGGACTGAAATGTTGAGTTTCTCTTGACTAATACCTTTGGCACAAGATGTTTTTATCGTGCCTAGATTAGCCAGTTAGACCGGTTGTGGGGTTAAGTGTGTTGGGTTTCGATCCTATTGGGAGAATAGTCTCTCATTAGGATGCAAATGCACCAAATAAGACAAAGTGCACGTCGTGGATTCCACTGCTAGGCACGAACAATCGAACATCTTCATTCACATATAATTCAACTGATTCCCTATTTCCATTTTAGGTTCGATCTGAGGAGCATGTGATGGCTGAACACTACCAATCAGATTATGCAAACAACGTTTTCCATTCAGATTTTCTAAATTCCCTTCCTAACGATGATCTCTTTGTGCCCGTTACAGACTTGGTTGTATGGATAGACCCATTAGATGCCACTCAAGAGTATACAGGTAAAGTAGTAATATCTGATTTATGTGTTGACATTAAAATTATTGTCCTTAAAAAAGTGGGTTTACATTGCGTTCTCGTCACCGTTTTCTTAAATAAGGATTCGTTTTTGTTGGTTATTGAAAATTGCATCGTTAAAGAGTTTAGAAGTAGGTATTGCTTATGTAATGACCTATTTCATTGAATATTGGTACTACCGTTTCGCTCATATAATTCCTAGTGATTTCATTTAGATGTTGAAGTACTAAGATATCGCTAATGCAACTCATCGTTTTTGTTTGTTACTGGAAATGAAATGCTACACTGTAGAATTGTTATCTGTTAAAGTCACCTTATCACTTTAAAAGCACAAAATAATCGAGCAAAGAATATTCTTTTCGATAAATTCCTCTTCCAGGATCTACAATTATATGTTTATATTTTGTGTTTTATAGATGTCTGAATGAATATTTTTGCTATATTGAAATCTTCTGAGCATCATTTTGCGTTAAAAGTACTCAACGAGTATTTGAAGTATAGCGCAAGGCTCAGCGAAGCAAAGACTACTGTTGACTTTATCCACCAGTGTATTGAAACAAACCGGTACCCGAAATCTTATTGGAAATCTCTACGCCGTTGCAGAGTCCGGCCTAACGATAAGACACTCAAACGCCATGCACGTAACCAAATTGACTCAATTCAATCGTGTATTACTGAGTTATCGAAGAATGTGACAGAAAGGTTCTATGTTGTCGACGAATTACCAGAAAACTTAAAGAAACTATTTTTAGATTATGTGGATGTAATTGTGAGTAATAGGAAAGAAAAGAAACGCCTGAAGCTGGTACAGAGCTTAGAGAACAAGGCACCTGAAACAAGATTTCCTCCTAACCCAAATCGTTTTATGTTTAATTTTTCAGATGTAATACTTAGTAAAGTGGATCTACAGGTTTTATCGCTTGGCCCTAAATTTTGTGATAGCCATCTAAAAATTAACAAAATGGATGCACAAATTCAGTTCGAAAGTCTCTACACTCAAACGGAAGGCCTAACACCCTCATCAACTGAAGATGTTGAAAGACTTAAATCAACGCTGGTCGACTGTTGCTATTATTACATGAACAGTAAACGCAATTCAGATAGTATCTTAACCAAAAAACATAGAGAAGCCCTGGATGTTCTCCGCAAAAATGACAACATAATAATAACAAGACCGGATAAGGGCTCAGGAGTGGTTATCTTGAACAAAGCGGATTACTTTGAGAAGATGAATACTATTCTTAATGATAATTCAAAATTCCAAAAAATCTCTTCTTCTCTAGATCCTATTGAAAAGATAGAGATACAGTTAGCGGAAACACTGAAAAGACTGAAACAACAAGGCTTCATCTCACAGAGTCAGTACACGTCACTTAAACCCACCGGAACGTTCACACCAAGACTATATGGCTCGCCTAAAGTGCACAAAAATGGTGTACCGCTACGAACAGTATTAGATATGCTAAATTCACCATACCATTTGGTAGCCAAATGGTTAGTTGAACTCTTACAGCCCCTTCATACTGAGTTGGTGAAACATAGTGTAAAGGATACTTTTGGATTCGTTGAAAGGATAAGAGATTTAAATGTTGATAATAAATTCATGATATCATTTGACGTATCTTCTTTGTTCACCAATGTACCTCTCATGGAAACAGTGGACTTTATATGTGAAGAACTCAAAAGACGAAACATTGAGGTTGGCATTCCTATATCTTTCATGAAGGAGCTTCTCTGGAAATGTACAATGAATGTCCACTTTTTATTTAATAAGGAACTATATAGACAAATCGACAGTGTGGCAATGGGACCCATTCTAGCCGACATTTTCCTTGCGAAACTAGAAAATGGGCCTTTGAAGTATGTTATTAATGAACTTGAATTCTATTGTCGATACATGGATGATACTTTTTGATTATGAAGAACGAAAAGGAGGCAAAGAACATCCTGGATAAATTTAATGAGGTACATCCTGCAATAAATTTTACTATTGAGAAAGAAAAAGACTAGTATTTCATTTTTAGACGTCCTTATGACCAGAAAAGAGGATGGCACAATAAGAAGTGTTTAGAGAAAACCTACATCATCGGGCCAGTACACACATTTTCTCAGCTTTGTGCCCTTGAAATACAAACGCAATCTAATAAAGTGCTTGGTCCACAGAGCAAGAGAGATTTGCTCGGATGAATGTCTTGACGAGGAGCTTAACAATATTAAACGGTTGCTAAGTGAGAATGGTTATCCCGAAAAGTTTATTGATAAGAATATGAATCGGAAACCAAAACAGCCCAAGTTACCAACAGTTCCGAAAAAGGCCTTGTTCTTACAGATGCAGTTCCTAGGAGACAACACAAGTGAGATACTAACACATCGCCTTAGAAATGTGGTAAAAAGAGCATTCCCTGCTGCTCAATTACGCTGTATCTTTAAAACCACTCCTCTTCTGCGTTCGGGAATAAAAGACAAACTGCCTAATTTCGCCTCTTCCATGTGTATATACCAATTTAACTGCTCCTGTGGAGCCAGTTACATAGGCCGTACAATTAGGCGTGTTTCTCGTCGAATTTCCGAACATCACCCTGCCTGGTTAAGCAAAGGTCAAACAAAATCTATTCACAGCGCTATTCTGGCGCATCTTGTGGATACAGAACACAAGATTGACGTTAATCATGCTTTCAGGGTCATTTACCGCATACCTACGAATCTCAATTTCGCTTTAAGTGTTCGACTTCTAAATATTGCTGAGGCTGTGGGGATCCATATTAATAAGCCTAATTTATGCACCCAAAAGAAGTTAGTTCAGTCATTATCAATACCTTGGCCATCCAGGTTTGAATAATCCAGAATTTTTGTGAAATTTCCCTAATTTTAGTTGATATTCTATTCGCTGTTATATCTTTATTATTATATTATAATTTAAGCATCTTTAATGAACTGTAATAGCATTGATCATACTTTACAAATCGATATTATTTAAAAGACGCTAATATTGTTATTAACTACTAATTTAAAATATTCTGTGTATATAAACATATATATAATTGTAGAGCCTGGAAGAGGAATTTATCGAAAAGAATACTCTTTGCTCGATTATTTTGTGTTTTATAGATGTCTGAATGAATATTTTTGTTATATTTTAAAAGCACACCAGGAGGAGCAACTTGTGTGCGCAAGAATGTATTGTGTGCTAAATTTAATACATTGTACTTTTTGAATAAAAAGAATGTGAATCATATGAAAGTGCATCAGTGGGTGGGCATTTTAGTAAATTAAACTTTCTTAATGACAACAACACGGAAAATTGTTTGTCTATACTCAGACAAAATAAGTATAAATCTATGGAGCACGTAGGAGCAATAAATATCACTGATTTAATGTCTGGGGTAAATCATAAGGTAGAGCTTGAAAAGTAAAAGTGAATATGGTGATAAAAGTTTGTGAAAAAAAAATTGATTAGACGAATCACTGTTAGCATCAAAATACAGAGGTTAGATAAAGCTTATTTCGTGACCATCAACTCAAGAAGTTGATGAAATACCAATCTCTTCTCTGCTAATTGCTCTAAAATCTGTTGATGTTTCGATATTAGGTATTTTTTAGAAAACAAGTGAATATATAACATACAAGGCAGTCTGGGATTTGTTTAATCGCATAGATTTGTTTCCATTACTATGTTATAGAGACACCTATTTAACTGGAATCATGCAAATGTTCTGATATCTGCAAATTTGATTTTTCACCGTAAATTTGTTCGTCAGTTCTAACACGTCTCTCGATTGTCTTCATTTGGCTCCTTTGATCCCGGTTGAATAAATGCTTTATAGGTGACAAATACTCAATGAAACTATTACGGCTAAGGAATGAATGATGCACTTTACGTTTAAATGACCATTTCTTAATGACGAAAAGTAGGAAAATAGCTAGATAGTAGGAATAAGGCTCATAAATATTGCAGCAAATCAATACTACAAAATAACTTACGTAAGAAAAAATCCACCCGTATTTTGTATTTGCCCAGTTGACTTTTCCTTTTGTTTATGTACTCAGCATCATTCTGTTATCAACCAAAGTTTTATTAGGGGTCATTTGTAACAAACTTCCCCACTCCCCCAATAACAACATACATGAATTACGGGGTAAGCAATAAGAGGATTCAAGTACAAAACTTTCTTTACACCGATGTTTGATGACACAAAATCAATCTTTAACAAACAGGACATTCTTCGGAAAAGTTGCTGTTAAAAAAAACAGTAAATGTCGTTTTTTCTTGCTTATCTGAAGACTTTTCTTGACTACCTTAATTGCCTAAGATGTAAGAACTACTAAGCAGCAATACCCTCTCCACAGGTTATCATTTAAAGATTTAATTCGCCTTCAGATCATTATTTAGTGAGCTGCTCTTTGTTGAACCATTGAGAGTTATTTATCAGCCGAATCAATTTGAAAATCGCAACAGTGAAATCTTTTGATATGGTGATTATTATTGGGTCTTCACACTTATGTTGCAAATTCCTACTAGATTATTTATTCGAGAGGATATGCATTTTCATCATTTGATCAAACTTAAGTTTCTTTTTTAAAGCTTATTGGTATCAATAGTTGATATGTTACCTTAAGTGAAATCCCACGGCACTGTGTATTATGAGTACAACTCAACCATATTAACATTGAAAATCGCAGTATGAGTAACAGTTATTGTGTCCTGCTTCAAAATTGTGTTGTTCCAGAAAACTAGATCTATTCAATCTATAGACTTTTTTTAAGTTTTAACTAATAATGGTATAACGTTTATATTTTCTGCCTGAATTTTGACTCCTTATTTCAGCCACTTTATTTGTCGATCAATTTAATTTCTTTGGGTACGGCAACTCTCAAAAAGTTTTAATTTCTCCAAAGGAGACTTATCATTGCAGCTCATCTGTGAAAAAAAACAACCTTATGCAATAATTAAGGAAAATTTAAAGTTCAGGCTTTAATTATTTATTGAAATGTGTGTACTACTAAGACTATATGTTAATAAAAACTAACATATTAGTATCATCATATCTTGTGAAAAACAAAAATTTATTGTACGTTGATTTTGAAAACCCGTACAAATGGTTGCATTTATTCAACAATTTAATTCATAAACTGAGTTCCTAGTAAAATTAGATCACTTCAAGTGATGTTTTTGTATGGATTAATCTGGGTATTGTTAGCAAAAGATTGACTGTGGCTTTTAGCTGTTAATTTGATCGTTGTTCAATTGGGTCAAATATTAGCTGATAATTGCAGTGCAACCCGAATTGACAAAAGTTTGAAAACGTGATGAGCTCACCATAAAAGTCCGGGTGTTCATCTAATAACTCGTCACAGACACGTACTCTAAAAAGTGCTAAAACTAGGATTAAACTGTTCAGTGCTTCTAAATTTCTGGTGTTTCAGCATTCAGCTTCTACTTGTAAGGAGAACTGCTACGAAAAAGCCATTGGTGTAAACACACTTACTTGTTACTGAAGGTCTCACCCGACTGCTCTCTATATGATTATTTGTATTTCAAGCGCTTACCACATGTGCTGTATCTAGATTTATGTGTACGGGACTAATGGATGACGTGAAGGATTCCAGTTTTCGTATTCTGAAGTTTTAACTAGTTCCCTGCTTAGCTGTATGGTGAACAGTTTAAATTTCCAGAATAGTGTTTTACTATCTTTTTCCCACCTGTTCATGTTCTCTTCAAGTTTTATATATTTTAAACAATGATGCTATTTAATTCTGCTTTCTATCATTCTTTTCGAACTGTAAAATAGAAGGTCTAACTGAATACGTCACAGTTATGATTTGCATCGTCCTTCATAATCGTCCAATAGCCGGTATTGTCCACCAACCGTTTCTGAATAAAACTTGTAAGTTCTTACTTAATTCAATATCATCTTCGTTTAATCATCTACTTCTTACTGGTTAAGTTACTTTTTAAACATTTGGTTTACTTCAGGGATTCGAACTAATTCGAGACTAATATACGAGTTAGCAGAGGAATTGTTTGTAAACGGCTGATTACTGGGGCATATTAGTAATGACAGGTTACGGCTAGATACTGGCCAATAATTTGAGAATCACCTATTTATAGTATCCTTGAGTTACTCATACTTGACACGCACCTGTTTTCGTTATATATACTACATATAAACTAGAACTAAATATATTATGCAAGTCACATTACCATGGAAAGACTCGTTTTATTTTTTATTTAACTACTACTTCTTGACAAATCCAAGCAAAGCAGTCAGCACCAAAAATCACTGATTTCTTGATATCAGTCGCTTTTCATTACCTTGTTTTCTAGGTGAGTGAGCAAGGTTTATAGAGAAATTATTTTTGTTTTGCACATCATATTCTTATAGTTACTGGTGGCCATAAACATAATATTTTAAGCAATCAGCAGGAAAGTTTGTTGATCTTATTTTAATCTGTCAGTAAAGCGAGACGTAGAAGTAAGTTGCTGCAAAATACATGAGGACAGAAGAAGTTGAACCAACTTGTACTCAGATTAGTAACTATTTGCCTTCAGCTCTCGTTGATTGGTTCGCCGACGGTAAAAGCAGATATCTTTCCGTCTGGATTTCATTACTTTGCTAACCAACATGTACCATATTTAAGTTTGTCTGTCATGTATTGAAGGATCATTTTCGAACGCCTTAACCTTTTTGCTTTAATATTTTTAATCAGCTGTAGTTTGTTGTTATGGCAGTAAGCTGAAATTATATATTTTAAAGATTATCAGTCAAATCAGTGAATTACTACTTCTAGAACTAGCCTTTTACTAAACGAGTAATCTACTGGTCGACATTGAACTTCTTTTTTTCATGTTTTGATAAAACAAATTGTTTTTTGCTGTTGCAATTATCATTTTTTGATGGAGTGCCTTTTAACATAAGTTGCAACACGAAATGTTTAAATGCAACTAGTAATAGTATTCAATCCTCTTTTTTGTATTAACTGCACATACAGCATGAAATCGATATAGAGAAGCACCGTGATTTTTGTTTGTTTGGTGGATTGTAAAGTATCAGTGATATGAGGTTAGTCCGTGGCGTTTAAATCTGACTAAACATATTGGTTACTAATAATAACCAGGAACCTGAGAGTTATAAAACGCAGAACATTAGATTACTATTAAATTATTGTAAATATATTTTTACAATTAAAGAGACAGTAGACATTATTTCCACATTTTAACCACGAAGATCTCCATGTCATATCGAAGTGTACCAGAGTTTTACCACTAAGACACATACTTTATTAGCCTAGTAAGTTCTTTGTACCGTGTTCACTACCAGCACACTGATCATTTTTATAACTTCAAGAGCTCTAAAAATGGAAAATATCAGCACCTAAGGGAAAATAAATCTGTATAGAAAATTGAACTATAGGTGGAACAAAACTTGGATTACTAATTATGTCAACCCCCTGTTACTTAGTAATGGACTACTATACGTTTTTGGTAAATATAAATGCGACTGTTTAGTGTGTGAAGATGACTTCGTCAATAAAAAAATATTATTCACTGAATTATCTTTTATTTTCCTCATAACTGAATGGGTATATTCTAAAAGTTTCTTTTCACCTGTAGTTCGATTTTTATTTTATCTAAAACTAGAACCTAGTACACTGTCGCCACCAAGAAATATGCCAATATCTTATGTAGATTTATTTTCCCTTAGGTGCTGATATTTTCCATTTTTAGAGCTCTTGAAGTTATAAAAATGATCAGTATGCTGGTAGTGAATACGGTGCAAAGAACTTATTAGGCTAATAAATTATTCGTCGTAGTGGTAAGACTCTGATGGAAATAGTGTCTATTGCATATTTGATTGCAAACGCAGTCAATTCAGTGGGTGTGCTTTTCACTTAGTTTATATATCCTTATTATTATTATTACTATTATAGATTGGGGTTGGGGTTCGTATGCACGTTCTTTGGACTTGCAGTCGGCTATAGAAACCCGTAAAGCACTTCCTCCTAAAGGTACCTTATCCGTAACTTATTCACGTTCACACCTGAATGAATCACGTATGCAAGGTTTAATAAAACTAGTGGCTCCAAATCAAGTTCATTTTATACCAGCTGGTGGTTCAGGTAAGCATAGTTTTTAAATTATTTTTCTTTCTTAAGTTGAATATTAAGTTTACCCATCTCTCAGCATATTTTGTTTTCACTAAACATTGTTCATAATAAGGCATCATAACAGTAAATGTCCAAAACAAGTTCACTTTTAACGGTTTGAAAAAATTTAGGCATTGGGTATATGATGTTCATCATAATAAACGTTTTTGTCTTTCCCAATGAATGAAAAACAAAACGATATTGTTTTTACTGACGTTTTGCTACTTAATGCTAACAGCTTTATCAAAGTATTATTAAACCGGAATTTACAAAATCTCAGCATATATATAACAAACAGTTAGGCGGTGAGAAAATAGACATAGGTCAAGTTAAAGGGACATATTGAAAGTAAAAGTAGCAATGAAGATAGCTAAACCAAATAACAAAGGTAATAGTATGTCTGTTATGATATCAAAATAAAGTTTACTAACTTGATCATCGTTCATCTGTCTGGGGGCATTTTTAGTTGTCACTTTGGTATTTAATCGGTACAAAGCTAAGGAAGTGTGTATACTGAGCTTTGGTCTCTAGCTTTCTAAATATGGTTCTTTTGACGGAACCATCCTCTCTTCTCGTTAGTAGGACGTCGAGGAAGTGTAGAGAGTCGTTGCATTCTCCTTCGTAGGTGAAATGGACCGCTGAGTGTGCATTATTGAAGTTGCTCAGAATCATATGACTACTTAACCCTTCATCGTACACCCAGCAGTCCATTTCACCTACGAAGGAGAATGCAACGACTCTCTACACTTCCTCGACGTCCTACTAACGAGAAGAGAGGATGGTTCCGTCAAAAGAACCATATTTAGAAAGCTAGAGACCAAAGCTCAGTATACACACTTCCTTAGCTTTGTACCGATGAAATACAAACGTAATCTGATCAGATGCTTAGCATTTAGAGCAAGGTCTATTTGTTCCGAAGACTGTGTAGAGAAAGAACTCCAGGTCATCCGAGACATTCTAAGCGAGAACGGATATCCAGAGAAGTTCATTAAAGCCAACATAGGTTACAATAGCCGTAAACATGAACTGGCAACGGTGGAGAAAAAGCCTCTGTTTTTACGTCTCCAATTCAAGGGAGATACTCTTGTGGAGATTCTATTGCAACGTTTAACCAGGGCGATCAAGAAAACTTTCTACTCCGCACGTCTGTGTCTATCCTTCAGTAGCCGTCCAATGTTCACCCAGCAACTCAAAGATGTCTTACCTAAGCTTAGCTCTTCTTCATGTATATACCATTTCAACTGTTCCTGTGGTTCAAGTTATATAGGGCGCACGATTAGGCAAGTTCGTCTACGGGTTCGAGAACATTTACCAGCTTGGTTCAGCAGGGGGGAAATTAAGTGCATGAAAAGCTCGATCCTGTCACACTTGGTCGATACTGGACATCACATCGATGTCAACACAGCTTTCAGGGTTATATACCGAATTCCGAAGTCGTTATCACTTACAGTTCGCTTACGTCTTCTACATATAGCTGAAGCTGTTGCAATAAGATCGACTAAACCGGAACTTTGTATCCAAAAAGAACACGTCCAGACGCTGCTCCTACCGTGGTCAAACTTGGATTGATGATTCTTCCCCTTAACCCTCTTGGCTTTTTTTCTTCCTTTGCTTATTATTACAAATATCATCATTACAATTATTGTTATTATTAATATTATTATCATTCGTCATAATTTATGCCCTTCATGCAAACATTCTCTCAATACTATCGAATGTTTTCGTTTATACTATCCGGACTTATTATTAGTGATATTATCTCTTTTCGTAATATATACCTCCACCTGTTTCATTTTACATATTCGTTATATCATTATGAACCTCTCATTGCAGTCTTACTATCTCCTGTTTAACACAGACCACTTTGTACTAGCCACTCACCTGACACCTTTTATAACCTTGAACTGACTTGCCAATTTCCCTACCCCACACTCTACAAATCTATTATGATTAATCACCATTGTCTCCCGTTTTACAATATTTTGTAATCGAATTCAGCCTAGCACGTTTGTCACACAAAAAAACGACTATTTATTTTGACACCCCATAACTAATCTGTTATTTTACGTTAAAAATGTATCTGCCGCATAACTGGCCTTTATTGTAACGACAACAAATATTATATTTTATAATTGTAAGAACCTGAAGAGAAATTATTGAAAAGAATATATATAACAAACAGTTAGGGGGTGAGAAAATAGACATAGGTCAAGTTAAAGGGACATATTGAAAGTAAAAGTAGCAATGAAGATAACTAAACCAAATAACAAAGGTAATAGTATGTCTGTTATGATATCAAAATAAAGTTTACTAACTTGATCATCGTTCGTCTGTCTGGGGGCATTTTTAGTTGTCAAGTTGGTCAATTGGTAAAGATAACAAAATCAAGTGTGGATTGTTGGATTTGATCGGTGTGTAAAATTATAAAAGTAGTGTGTGTTTACATAGTGAACTTGCTTATCACATTCGTGTTGATTTTGTCACTTGGTGGGGGAGGGAGGTGTTGTAACCAGGTCAGATTCTGTTTTAGTCCATCATTCCTATTCAGGCAATTTTGATTCCACTTGATATGAAGTGCTTCTGATATTAGACGTTCTTTGTGATTTCTGAAGTTTTTCTGGATTATTTCAATATTGTCAAAATCAATTTTGTGGCCTGATTCTATAGCATGTAGACCTATGGCTGATGATTTTTCAAGTTTTTGTAGTTCAACAGGATTTCTCGGTGGTCGAAGAGATGCTCTACGGTGTTCATTTCTTCTGATTTTGATTTCTCGAGATGTTTGTCCGATGTATATCGCATCACATTCCAAGCATTTTATTTTATAGACACAATTAGATAGAGAATCTTTGGGGATTTGGTCTTTTATATGGACAAGGTTGCTTTGAAGTGTGTCTGATGTTTTGAAGAAAACTCTAATATCGAGCTGATTGAGTACTCTTCTGATATCGTCTGACGTCTCTGCTCTATATGGAATGACGACTGTTGATGTCCATGTTTTCGGAATGCGTTTTCGGCCATACTTAATGTCTGTGTTGATTTTGTTGATGAAGTTCCATGGGTAGTTGTTTTGCTTGAGAGTTTCAGTAATGTTTGATATTTCTTCTTCTTTTTCTTTCTCGTCGGTTATCAGAGAGTGTGCTCGTCTAAGAAGACTTGAAACAACTGAAATCTTTGCGCTGATGGGGTGTGATGACTTGAAGTCTAAATATTTATTTGAGTGGGTTTTCTTCCTGAATATGGATATACTAAAATGTCCGTTTTCCCTTCTCTTAACTAGGCAGTCTAGAAATGGTAGTTCACCGACGTCTGATTCTGCTTCCGAAGTGAATTGGATTCTGGGAGATACACAGTTTATTTTCTCCAGGAATGAATTGTGTAGATCTCGTTTTAGTACTACAAAAGTATCATCTACATATCTTAACCATATTTTAGGAGTGAGTATGCTTGAAAAGATGTTATTTTCGAATTTATTCATGAAAAGGTCGGCGACTATTGGGGAGACTGGTGAACCCACAGCAACACCATTTGTCTGTCTATATAAACTCCCTTTAAATGTAAAATAATTATTTTCTAGACAGAATTTTAAGCTCTTAATTATTCGACTGGTGTCCGGTGGACATCTTTGTGATAGCGTTGTATCTGATTCTAGAAGACTGGAAATGATATCAAGACTTTCGGTAATAGGGATACTAGTATATAATGAATTAATATCATAGCTTACCATAATGTCTTCTTTATCAATTTCTCGGTGTTCCATTTGGGATTTGAAATCATATGAATTTCTCACAATATTTTGAGAGTCCTGTTGTGGCAGTTGTAGTATCGAGAGTAAGTATTTAAATAGGTTGGATGTCGGTGCGTTGGTGAAATCTATTACTGGTCTCAATGGAACTGTGGGTTCACGTATCTCACAGTTCCATTGAGACCAGTAATAGATTTCACCAACGCACCGACATCCAACCTATTTAAATACTTACTCTCGATACTACAACTGCCACAACAGGACTCTCAAAATATTGTGAGAAATTCATATGATTTCAAATCCCAAATGGAACACCGAGAAATTGATAAAGAAGACATTATGGTAAGCTATGATATTAATTCATTATATACTAGTATCCCTATTACCGAAAGTCTTGATATCATTTCCAGTCTTCTAGAATCAGATACAACGCTATCACAAAGATGTCCACCGGACACCAGTCGAATAATTAAGAGCTTAAAATTCTGTCTAGAAAATAATTATTTTACATTTAAAGGGAGTTTATATAGACAGACAAATGGTGTTGCTGTGGGTTCACCAGTCTCCCCAATAGTCGCCGACCTTTTCATGAATAAATTCGAAAATAACATCTTTTCAAGCATACTCACTCCTAAAATATGGTTAAGATATGTAGATGATACTTTTGTATTACTAAAATGAGATCTACACAATTCATTCCTGGAGAAAATAAACTGTGTATCTCCCAGAATCCAATTCACTTCGGAAGCAGAATCAGACGTCGGTGAACTACCATTTCTAGACTGCCTAGTTAAGAGAAGGGAAAACGGACATTTTAGTATATCCATATTCAGGAAGAAAACCCACTCAAATAAATATTTAGACTTCAAGTCATCACACCCCATCAGCGCAAAGATTTCAGTTGTTTCAAGTCTTCTTAGACGAGCACACTCTCTGATAACCGACGAGAAAGAAAAAGAAGAAGAAATATCAAACATTACTGAAACTCTCAAGCAAAACAACTACCCATGGAACTTCATCAACAAAATCAACACAGACATTAAGTATGGCCGAAAACGCATTCCGAAAACATGGACATCAACAGTCGTCATTCCATATAGAGCAGAGACGTCAGACGATATCAGAAGAGTACTCAATCAGCTCGACATTAGAGTTTTCTTCAAAACATCAGACACACTTCAAAGCAACCTTGTCCATATAAAAGACCAAATCCCCAAAGATTCTCTATCTAATTGTGTCTATAAAATAAAATGCTTGGAATGTGATGCGATATACATCGGACAAACATCTCGAGAAATCAAAATCAGAAGAAATGAACACCGTAGAGCATCTCTTCGACCACCGAGAAATCCTGTTGAACTAGAAAAACTTGAAAAATCATCAGCCATAGGTCTACATGCTATAGAATCAGGCCACAAAATTGATTTTGACAATATTGAAATAATCCAGAAAAACTTCAGAAATCACAAAGAACGTCTAATATCAGAAGCACTTCATATCAAGTGGAATCAAAATTGCCTGAATAGGAATGATGGACTAAAACAGAATCTGACCTGGTTACAACACCTCCCTCCCCCATCAAGTGACAAAATCAACACGAATGTGATAAGCAAGTTCACTATGTAAACACACACTACTTTTATAATTTTACACACCGATCAAATCCAACAATCCACACTTGATTTTGTTATCTTTACCAATTGACCAACTTGACAACTAAAAATGCCCCCAGACAGACGAACGATGATCAAGTTAGTAAACTTTATTTTGATATCATAACAGACATACTATTACCTTTGTTATTTGGTTTAGTTATCTTCATTGCTATTTTTACTTTCAATATGTCCCTTTAACTTGACCTATGTCTATTTTCTCACCCCCTAACTGTTTGTTATATATATTCTTTTCAATAATTTCTCTTCAGGTTCTTACAATTATAAAATATAATATTTGTTGTCGTTACAATAAAGGCCAGTTATGCGGCAGATACATTTTTAACGTAAAATAACAGATTAGTTATGGGGTGTCAAAATAAATAGTCGTTTTTTTGTGTGACAAACGTGCTAGGCTGAATTCGATTACAAAATATTGTAAAACGGGAGACAATGGTGATTAATCATAATAGATTTGTAGAGTGTGGGGTAGGGAAATTGGCAAGTCAGTTCAAGGTTATAAAAGGTGTCAGGTGAGTGGCTAGTACAAAGTGGTCTGTGTTAAACAGGAGATAGTAAGACTGCAATGAGAGGTTCATAATGATATAACGAATATGTAAAATGAAACAGGTGGAGGTATATATTACGAAAAGAGATAATATCACTAATAATAAGTCCGGATAGTATAAACGAAAACATTCGATAGTATTGAGAGAATGTTTGCATGAAGGGCATAAATTATGACGAATGATAATAATATTAATAATAACAATAATTGTAATGATGATATTTGTAATAATAAGCAAAGGAAGAAAAAAAGCCAAGAGGGTTAAGGGGAAGAATCATCAATCCAAGTTTGACCACGGTAGGAGCAGCGTCTGGACGTGTTCTTTTTGGATACAAAGTTCCGGTTTAGTCGATCTTATTGCAACAGCTTCAGCTATATGTAGAAGACGTAAGCGAACTGTAAGTGATAACGACTTGGGAATTCGGTATATAACCCTGAAAGCTGTGTTGACATCGATGTGATGTCCAGTATCGACCAAGTGTGACAGGATCGAGCTTTTCATGCACTTAATTTCCCCCCTGCTGAACCAAGCTGGTAAATGTTCTCGAACCCGTAGACGAACTTGCCTAATCGTGCGCCCTATATAACTTGAACCACAGGAACAGTTGAAATGGTATATACATGAAGAAGAGCTAAGCTTAGGTAAGACATCTTTGAGTTGCTGGGTGAACATTGGACGGCTACTGAAGGATAGACACAGACGTGCGGAGTAGAAAGTTTTCTTGATCGCCCTGGTTAAACGTTGCAATAGAATCTCCACAAGAGTATCTCCCTTGAATTGGAGACGTAAAAACAGAGGCTTTTTCTCCACCGTTGCCAGTTCATGTTTACGGCTATTGTAACCTATGTTGGCTTTAATGAACTTCTCTGGATATCCGTTCTCGCTTAGAATGTCTCGGATGACCTGGAGTTCTTTCTCTACACAGTCTTCGGAACAAATAGACCTTGCTCTAAATGCTAAGCATCTGATCAGATTACGTTTGTATTTCATCGGTACAAAGCTAAGGAAGTGTGTATACTGAGCTTTGGTCTCTAGCTTTCTAAATATGGTTCTTTTGACGGAACCATCCTCTCTTCTCGTTAGTAGGACGTCGAGGAAGTGTAGAGAGTCGTTGCATTCTCCTTCGTAGGTGAAATGGACTGCTGGGTGTACGATGAAGGGTTAAGTAGTCATATGATTCTGAGCAACTTCAATAATGCACACTCAGCGGTCCATTTCACCTACGAAGGAGAATGCAACGACTCTCTACACTTCCTCGACGTCCTACTAACGAGAAGAGAGGATGGTTCCGTCAAAAGAACCATATTTAGAAAGCTAGAGACCAAAGCTCAGTATACACACTTCCTTAGCTTTGTACCGATTAAATACCAAAGTGACAACTAAAAATGCCCCCAGACAGACGAACGATGATCAAGTTAGTAAACTTTATTTTGATATCATAACAGACATACTATTACCTTTGTTATTTGGTTTAGCTATCTTCATTGCTACTTTTACTTTCAATATGTCCCTTTAACTTGACCTATGTCTATTTTCTCACCGCCTAACTGTTTGTTATATATATGCTGAGATTTTGTAAATTCCGGTTTAATAATACTTTGATAAAGCTGTTAGCATTAAGTAGCAAAACGTCAGTAAAAACAATATCGTTTTGTTTTTCATTCATTTGGAAATACAAAAGCTTTATTATAATGAACATCATAATCATGGTCATAAAGGTTTGTATGTTACCTTACAACATGGTATACCAGGAATTGGGTGTTTTACTTATCTTTACAGCATGCATCTGTGCATTGATTGTTTATAAATGCGCAATGTAGTATGTGGAAAATGTCTTCCATAGTGGCACGTGATTTCTTCACTATATGTCAGTGTGTATTGCTTTTTACAAACTGCACATAAATCATATTATAGTCGTAAATTCATTTTTAAATATCTCCGCATCTAATGAAAAAGTAATCTTTTTAGATTGTTTTGGCTCCTGGAACTTCTCAGTGGTACATATCGTTAGCTCATGTATGTCGGTAATGCTGAATCCTAAAAATTAATTTTCTGCTGAGTTTAATATCTACGAGACTTTAATTTAAAGGATTTCCTACTTTTTTAAGGGAGCAGTAGTAAGTTGACTTCCTGATTAATTTTCGGAAAGACTTTCTATTACTAATCTTCATTCCCTTTTAATAACGGAAATGCCTAAAGGTCATACTCTACGGAATATACGTTGAAGCAGTGTCATACCACATATTGTATTGATAAATATTTGGAAACCAGAAATTCTACACATCTGAATGTTTATGTTTTTGTTTCTTTCTATTCTTTTCGATTCCACCGTCCATTGAAATCAGTTAATACCTTACTTCTGAGGTACATTATAAAATCTTGACTTTCAAACTTTTTGGTAACGTTTGATAATGTACTTCGTCCAATCACTGCTCATTTAATGACTAAAGCATCTACGTAAAGCTTTATAAAAAAAGTTCAATGGATAAAGTTGACACTTCAGTAAAGCACAAATAAATGTAGGG